AATAAACAGATGTGGCATTAGTAAAAGAGGGTGGAGAATTAATGCAACGACCCCTAAGAAGAGACAAAGGGTAAAACACACATATGAATATAACTTGAAAGGATAATTGAAAGCAAAGTGACTCTGGATTGGGGTTTTTTTTTTTTCTCCTCTCGAAGAAGAAATCAAGGATTGAGCATAAATATTTTAGGAATCCATTTCCATCTAGAAAGTAAAATGGACTTGGAGATTCCTTATTAAACCTCATTCATTGGTTGATGCTCCCCCCCAAGGAGAACATTCTCACATTCCATCAAACTCCATGATCCTTTCCAAGGGAATTCAAGGTAAGAAGTGTAAAAGCACTTTGCACTTCTGAAGGACTACGCCAAATAAATAATATTATGATTATTATTTTCCCCCTTAAAGCCGGCTTCACCGTGGATATTCCCCTCGGATTTTCTCCCTTTTTTCCTTGTGTATATTTTTGTATTATTTCGCATATGATTTCTCCCGCTAAATCTTTGGATTTGAAATGGGGTTGGCATATTCTCAACCACATAGAGGAAGCAGTGGTACGGCGGGCGTCATAACGCTGGAACTGCCAGCCAGAAATGATCTGCACTCCAGCGGTTCGAGCCCGGCTCCGCCAAGACAGGTTGAGCTCCTGCTGCTCGCTCCCTGGCTCCTGCCCACCTAGCAGTTTGAAAGCACGCGATACTGCAAGTAGATAAATGGGTACCACTTGATGGGAGGGGCGTGGGAAACCTAGCTGCATTTGGGATGTTCTGAGAAATGAAGCCAATGGGGGAAGCTGGATTCACTTCACAGCTTGACATTTAACAAGCGCAGTGATTCACTTAACAACGGAGGGAAGAAAGGTCACAAAAAGATCTTCTCATAAATGCCTCGCTTAGGAACAGAAATTTTGGGCTCAATTGTGGGCGCAGTTCGAGGGCTACCTGTCTTCGTACAGTCTATCTTGACTAAACAATGTGAAGCTATTTTCATAAGAGCCACTGGACTGAAGTGACTGAAGAGATGAAAACTCAACTTAAAACAACTGTAATTAAAAGTTAAAGTTAAATACAAGTTAAATACAGTTAGTATCACTTGTTTCTCATTATTTTCTGATGATTTCAAGAGAAAGTTACTGGATGAGCAAAATGTTCCTGAAACTGAAGAACATTTTTTCCCCTACAATTTGGCTGATGTGCTAGATTAGTGTGTGTTCTAATTTAGTTACGAGGCTAGCTCAGAGAAATACGTTCATAAATGTACTTAAAAGTTCTTCTCAACCAGGAAAACTAAAAATTTAAGCTCACCACTGAACTGAAATTCATCAAAGCCAAAGAAACCTGCATTATTTTTCTCTATCGGCTACAATACAACACAATAACAGTGTTGGAAGGGACCTTGGAGGCCTTCTAGTCCAACCCCCTGCCTAGGCAGGAAACCCTATACCGTTCCAGACAAATGGCTATCCAACATCTTCTTAAAGACTTCTTATCTTTGAGTTCCTAGAAAAGCCCCACTGGGTAATATATTCCTGCAACTTTTCAGATTACAGACAAATTGGATCGCTTCCTGGAATTTTCTATCTAGTCCCTGCCCCTTGTAAGCTTATCTACTTCAAAATACTTTCTTCTCCTCTTAGTACCACCTCAAAACTCACTTCTTGCAGCTTGCTTTCCGTCACTATTTTCAGCTCCGGTGCTATCTGCTCCCTGTTTCTTGCCTAATTGTGTTAAAAATAGAAAAATATTTTTTTTACACATTGCACTGAAGCAAACCTTTATTATGAACAGCTTAATACTTAATTGCCTCTTCGCCTTTTGGTACACTGTTAATGCTTCAAGTCTTGTCTTATTATTCCAAAAAAAAAAATGCACAGTGACTATTTTAAATGCTATTTGGTGGGACATGAAGAATGTTTATATCGGATGCCTGTCAACCCTGAAGCTGGCCTGACTGAGGCCATTTTGAGGCTTCAGCGCTGACTCACTGGAGACGAGGGACAGGGAGGGGGGACGAGAGATAGTTGGGGTGTTGTAGCCAAAACAAAGTGCTTTCTCGTGGGAACCAAGGACATTCCTGCAGGAGGGGACTGGAGTCACTGGACAGCATCCTGATTGGACCATGTGACTTGATTGTTCTGAGATAGTGGAAAACTTTTACTTTTAAGGAGGTGAAAACTGTGGGAATATTCAGAGTCGGTTTTCACCAGCCCGTGCCAATATGACATATACAATAAATGTATTATTTGAGGAAATTGCCTGCCTCAGAGTTTCGTTTGCTACAGATATGGGTATGTGACTTGGAACCCTGACATTAAACAGACTCTGGATTAATTATAATATGTATATTGGATGCTATTATAAACTATGTAAAAGAAAAAGCATATCTATAAAGTAAATCTTACACGAGAAAGGAATTAATAGAATAACTGAATGACAGAGTTGGAAGGGACCTTGGAGGTCTTCTAGTCCAACCCCCTGCTCAAGCAGGAAACCCTGTAGTACCATTTCAGACAAATGGCTGTCCAATCCACAACTTCTGGAGGCCACTTCCGCTCCACTGATTAATTGTCCTCGCTGTCAAAGTAGAATAATTGATCTCACCATGGACAGGGGGAATATCTACACTTATCGTTCAACTTAAAAGTTGTCTACCAAAGCAAAGGAGATTCACTGAGCAAAAACGGACAAAACAATTCTTCTCGCGTTCAGATAAAATGACTCATCTTTCTCACAAGGAGATGCACACCCCATGATGGCGCCTCTGACCACACTAAGTGCTTTACAAACCATCTCATTCATCCTAACAACCCTGTGAGGTAGGCCACAATGCATTCCGTGCTCCTTTTTTTTAAAAAGAATGGGACTAAAGCCAGATTAGAGAATGAGTCCACATTTACTAATCCTCCAACTAAGCTGATCGAAGGCAGACAGGTGTCTTGGTTAAAAAAAAAGGTTAATAGGGATTTGATGGAATAGGGAGCTGTGCCTAAAATGTCACATTTCCTTTCTCCAACATGCAAGTGTTAGATGCGATGCGTACAGACATCGGAAACGTGATATTAAGCCCATTGGGCGTGAGCAAACAGTTATCAGGAAAATGTGATGTTTGTTGGCTCTCACTGTTTCAATTCAAGCAAACAAATAATAATTGTTTTCCCTGTTGCTTGAAATTGGTTGGAAACAATTATTGGCCACCATTCTCAATGGGAAAATGATTTACTGTTCTATGATACAATCATTAAACTCCCACATGAAGCAGAAGAGATGTTGCCCTTTTTATTATTACTTAAGTCCTGTCAAGAGGATTTTTAATTATTTCCACATACAGTGGGAGTTGTTAACAGGACAGCAAAGCTGGAAGGGACCTTGGAGGTCTTCTAGTCCTGCCCCCTGCTCAAGCAGGAGAACTTTATACCATTTCAGACAAGTGACAGTCCAGTCTCTTCTTAAAAACCTCCAGTGATGGGAGTACCCACAACTTCTGGAGGCAAGCTGTTCCACTGGTTAATTGTCCTCCCTG